TCTGTTCCTCTGACAAACGAATTGCCTGTGAGGAAGAATTCTCTGACTCGGATGAGGAAGGAGAGGGTGGCCGCAAAAACTCTTCCAACTTCAAAAAAGCCAAGAGAGTCAAAACAGAGGATGAAAAAGAGAAAGACCCAGAGGAGAAGAAAGGTGGGTTTGGGTTGGGCCAGGCTTGGGTCTTAAGCCCTGGAGGAGGATCAGTCTATGTAGGGCACCAGGAGGAGGGAGATGACTCAGGCCTTGCCAGCTCCTAGGGGCCACTGAGCTCCTTGGCCTTTTAGTGGCTCCCAGAAGTGGCAGAACCCTGAAACAATGAAATACTCCGTCATCTCTACTGTCTGACTGAGCCTGGCTTTCACATACCATCGGAGCCCTTTTCTCAGCACTTCACCCCAGTTTCCCAGGGGGCTGCCTCCGCCCACTGAGTTCTGACTCTAGCAGGCTGGGAAACCGGTCCAACCTGTTTTGTTTTCAACAGGGCTCACTGGGAGGACCTGGGATGGGCTTTTCTATGTCCAGTGAGCTGTACTATTGGGAAAGGGGTTTTAGGCAAGTGAAGACCCCCTGGGGCTTTCCAGAGGGGCTACCCTTAACCATCTCTGCACTCTTATATTCTAGAAGTCACAGAAGAGGAGAAATCCAAGGAGGAGAAGCCAGAAGCCAAAGGGTGAGGAAGAAGCTGTCAGCCACCTCCCTGGCATCAGAGCATCAGCCCCTTTGTCCCACCACTCTAAGGGAAAGCACAAGGACAGCTGATCTCATTTACAAAGGCCTCTTTCAGGGATCAGTCTATCTCTGCAGTTCTAGGCAGAGCTAGGAAGTCCCAGCCCCCAGCAGTCACCTGGGCAGCCAGGGTCCTGTGAAAGTGCATTGTATCCACACTTTTGTCTCAGGGTGGTTTATCTCATGCCAGTCTCTGCTTTCTCCACAGGGTCAAAGAGGAGGTCAAGTTGGCCTGAGCAGACTTCTCCAGCTTTGGCTTCTGGCCAAGTTCCCCACCTTTTTCCTCCAATCCCTCAGATTTTTATATTTTCTATTTCTCTGTGTATTTATATAAAATATATTAAATATAAATGTCCCCAGGGACTAGATAGGAACCAGGGCCCTGATCCCAAGGCAGCTGTGTGGAGGAAACTTCCAGTAGTTGCCTTGTTCCCCATCCCTCTTTAAGTCTTTTGAACCATCTACAGTGCAGATCTGGGTGGAAAGGATGTAACCATAAGAAAAATCCTAAAATGACAAAGGTCTGTTTAGTAGCTTTGGAAAGGTGCCCTTACCAACGGTTCTAGAAGGGATGGGTGGGTCTTCAGGGACCCCCTGTACTTTTCAGACTCCTAACATCAGCCATTGGTTGTTTTCTTACCTTCCCACTGGCCTCAATAGAGCCAAGAAACACACTGCCCTGTCTTCCCCCCAGCTCCACAGGTGAAGGTTGGTAGTCTAGCTTCCTTTCTAAGATACTATTTTCATTTTTGTGAGACTTTGTAATAAAATGGTACATTTCTATACCCTCCTGAGCTTTTGTTTCCTGACATTGTCCCTGGGTTGATTTCAGTTCTTCCTATTCATTGGTGTGCCTTCTGGATACCTGGTCCACAAAAAAACCCCGAACTTACCTGTCTTTTCAAAATGCTTTCCTTAAGTTATCAACCAGTTTCCTCACCTTACCCCCAGAAGACCACTCATTAAAGCACCACTAAAGGGATGACATTTATTCCTTTTCCAAATGTTACAGTAAAATCAGGTGGAAGATAATGGTTTTAGCAATTAGAAAAAAAAAAAAAGTACAAATCTGGGGTTTGGCCATTAAAAGTTATTTACAACAATGGGAGAAAAAAAGACAACAAGAAGTTGTTTCACATTACAGACCTCCCTCCCACCCCAAAGCCTAATACTTGCTTACCAAGTCAAAAAAGAGACACAGTTGATTCACAAGCTGGAGGTTTGAACTTGAGTAAGACATTTATAAAAACCTAGACAGGGGCAGTGTCCTCCCCAGCCCAGGTGCCACTAGGCACAGCACAAAAGACTAAAAACTCAACAGGGGAAAGGCTGGACACTCAGGGTTTGGGAGTACAAGCACCCCACTTCTGGCTCAGGGATTGGGGAGTGGGATAAACAAAACCTACTTGGAAAAGAACTGGGAGAGAAAACCAGCAATTGCCTTCTGCAGGGCTGGGGACAGGGAAGGAGGTAGGGTCAGGAACAGGAGCATTTCACATCACTAACCTAACTTGGGAAATTGTAAGGGACCATCTTCAACTGGCCTTAAGAGAAAAACCAGATGGCTGATGGGAGAATCCACAGGAGGGAGAGGAGAAAAGGGAACGTGGCTGGGAGGGGGCAACAAGCCCCTTCCTTTCTGGGCACAGGAAGGCAGCCAGGGCACCAGGTCCAGGCAGTGACCTCACAAGGACAGCACAGTTTTTGCAGCTTAGAGATCACCCACCTGTCCCCACCCAGCTACTCATTCTGCTCAACGCTGGCTGATGCAGGGCCACTTTCTGACCCCAAGGGAGTGGACGGCTCTGCAGCCTGGGGCCCTGCCTCTTCTTCTGTGTCTCCTCCCTTGGAGGCAGCACTGGCCTCTGCCCCTTTGGCCTGGGGCTCCTGGCTCTCGGGGGTGGCAGCAGCCTTCCCTTCCTGGGCAGTGCCCTCCTCGCTGCAGGCACCGATCTCCCCCTGCTCCTGCTCTTCCTCTGTGGGTGAGGAGGCAGAAGAATCACCCCCACCCTCCTTCCGATTTCTCTTGAAGGACAGGCCACTCAATTTAAAAGGCTTCTTGAAAGAGAATTTCTTCTTCTTCTTAGGGGTCTCCTTGGGAGCGGTCTCCCCCTTGGCCTCAGCGCCCTGGCCAGGGGGTGCTGGCTCGATGGCATCACCAGTGGCCCCCGCTGCCTCATCTGTTCCGTTCACCGGGGGCGACTCCCCTTCACCCTTAGGGGATAAGTCTCCATTGCTTTTCACGTGGCCATTCTCCTGCAGGGCAGAGGAGACAGCAGTGAGGGCCAGGGTTATTCTCCCCCTCCCCCAACCCGCTTCTGGATCTTTCCAGGTAACGGGGTCCACCACTCGGATCCACTGCGACCCATGTCTGGCTTCAGCCTCACCCTACACCCGGAATCCCGTCAAACATCGTCTCTCGCAGTCGCGCTGGGACAGCCGCGGAGGCCACCACCGGCAGGAGGCGCTGGGCATCGGGGCCCCCACCCCCCTCCCCCGGGGCGCGCTCTCCATTCCGCACGGAACCGCTGCGGGCCGCGGATCCCGGGCCAAGGGGTGAGCCTGCCAGGCGATATTGGGCGGGAAGCCGCCCCGGGGCGCTGCCTCTCTACACCTGGACGGCCTATTTTCCCAGCCTCCTGCTTTGTGTAAACGGCCCCCACCCACCCCAGGCTCTCCCCACCTCTCGGCTCCCCCCTTCAA